TCCAAGTAGAGCATTCCTAGCAAGTCTGTAGCAAAAAATTAAAAGAAGTGAGCTATGGGCACACTGTCACAGGTTCCCAATCCTCTGGAAGGTGAGTAAGAATGAATTCTGACGCTTGTACTATCTTAGAAGGAGCAACAACAAATTCAATGTTACACATGAAATTTGGACTCTTTTCGCCTTAGAAAATATGATAGGATTGCAATAGTTGCTATAATTAAGGAGGAGTAGTAAGCAAAAGGTAAGCAAATCTTTCTTTGAGTGAATCTTCAGAGTGATACAGCTATATTTCGACCAAATTGTCCTTAAATCGTTTAAACTAGTTTGGTATAATGAAAATTGGCACCTTAGAATATGATTTGCGAGATCCAGAAAATAATGACAGCAACTCTTCGCGTACATATTATCATCCGCAATTCCAGCATTGGGTTTTCTATAGCAATGACCCCGTCTGGTTATTATGCTCATATACAAAGTTTCTCAATATAAATGCTAATAAAGTTTACAAAGGTTTCAGTCGGCTGCGGTTTATAATGAGATAGGCACTAGATGCAGCTTGAAACGCGAATTTCAAAAGCTCCTAATCTATACAACATTCCTTTCGAGGAAATAATGAGAATTTTTTCTGTTGACAATAGCACTCAAGACCCGTCGATTTGTGTCTCAAAGAGTTGTCTTCAACCTGAGTTGATTCAAAATCTCACCCTTAGTCGAGAAGACTTATTGGAAACCATGACGGAGCTCCCCTTATCGTCACTAGGTTTGAAAATAATAACTAACTTGTAGCTAACATGTCTTATATGCTATCATGTTCACTCTTAAGGGATCGTTTTGCAGGCATAAAGTAGTTGTGAGGACTCAGTTTGAATCGCGTGTATCACACCTTTCTTCATTGATGATCATAGATTTAACTTCTCCTTGGCAGCAAAAACGTGATCAATCATTGAAAAACGATGTCTTGCTAAAAACTGAAAATTTCTACATTATGGCACAGTTCATACAAGAATGTATTGCTCGCCTAGTAAGCAGCTTGAAGAGAAAGGTCCCTGACACACGGAAATTGTGTTGCGCCCAATTTCTCTTCACTTCATTTCCGTCTTTAATTTTTCAAAATAAGTTAAGGCTGAGCTTTAAAGTGCAATACGCAACCTTAAAATGCAATTCTCACAATGAGCGTATTTTTGAGCGCGAACAAGTAAGAATAATGTCAAGGGAACTGCTTTTCCAGAGTTACTTGAGAAGATTTAGCAATCATTTCAAAGAATTTGTAGTTCCCGAAAAAGATAAATATTTGCTTTAATATTAACTTACTGCCCACCTGTTGTAATAAACAGAGTGGAATGTTCTTGAATTATAGTGGAAATAAAACGCTGTAGTAAATTGAAAGTATTTTTCATGCTTGTTCCTTACTATAGGATTGGCGAACATGGCTAAAGAAGGGGTATATGACAGATGGTAATAGAGCCAAAAAACGCTTGTAGAGAAAAACCACCACATAACCTGATTCCGCAGCGTTTTTGCCTAAGCAATCAAAAGAGCTCTCTGCTTAGGCCCAATAAGAAGAGCGGAAGAGGAAGTAGAAGCAGGCCTCGGCACGAGGTCTCCGATTGAACTCTTCAAAAACGAATAAATCTTTGAAAATCACGAATTTTACGATATCCCCTTTGAGCATGAAGAAGTCAGAAGTAAAAAGTCAGAAGTAGAAAAAATTCCATTACCCAAAAGTCGTGAAATTTTGCTTCGCTGCTAAGAAAAGTGCAAATTGATACTTTGAAAAGACTAGTGAATACATTTGCTAATTGAATTAACGTTTTTTCCTCTAAGAAAATGTTAAGCGATTACGTTGTTGAAAGCACTAGTGCCTCAACATCACCTGCTACTGTATGATAAGTGGATGCTTGAAGAAAACTTGGCTAAAAAAGGAAAAGCAAACATTATCAGCGCCACAAATTTTGACAAATCCTTCAATCCCACTCTAAAAACCAAGTAAAAGTAACCATGCGAATCTATCCTGGTTATAATATCCGAGCCTGAAGGAGAATGGTTTGTGTAAAAAACGTGCATGCAGCATTATTGCAAGGGAAAGGCTCATAAAAGGATAAACTTGCTAGTGAATTGCAACACAAGAATCACATATGATTATGAGCAATAAACTCATAAATAATACTCACTCCTCGACGATTTAACCGGAGGCGTGAAAACGGAAAAAGGAGAATTAAAAGAAACTCATTTCCGCCTTATGGCTGGCGACGACCTGAAAAGTCTAGAAAGTGAGCAGAACATAGCAGAAAAAAGGAAAGAAAAACAAAAAAGGCGTAAACACTCCGAAAAAGCGTGGGCAG